CATACAGACGAATTGAGTACCTCCTTCTTTTGGGAAGACGGTCAAAAACTAGTTTATTGATTACGTTGATTATTTACTACCATAATCCACAATAATTCTTTTACTTAGTTCTCTGTTAGTGTACAAATACCGACTCTAGGGATGGTGTGTGTATAAACTTCAAATAAATAACAATTATAATTCACAGAGTTTATAAACAAACTTTGGTTTTAAATCATTAAAAGTTTTAACCAGTTCGAATGTTAACCCGATAGTTCCCATATAACGTTACCTAAGCAAACTGAGGAGAATAAATTAATTTCAAGTGTCAAGAGTGTACGGTTTTCGCGACGCCACGCTACTGCGGGGGTGGGGGCTTACTGCGGACGGGGGCCTCGGGGTGGGGGGACCGTAACGCGCGCGTTCATGCAGAAACTGACGATAACGCGGCCCGGCCTACCACGTAACCCTGCCGAGTGCGATAGCGTTATCTCGCGCTTAAAAATGTATGGCCAATAATGGTGTCGCAGTTTTGACAAGGTGCGATTTTCGTTCGAGTTAAAGTACCTGGCTCTGATAACGGTTAATTTGAATTTTCGTGACTGGATTATTTCGTGAGAGTCTTTTAAGTATATTGAAAATACTTATCAAAAGTACTACGTAATATCGTTGAATGAAGATCTCTAATATTGAACTGAATTAAAAAAAAGAAATACTGAGAATGCTTAATCATGTTTAAATTGTTAATTAAGAATTGTTTCTTTAAAGACATGTTTATAAACTAATTAACAATAAATTATTCATTAGAGTGTCACAATAAAATACAAGTTAACAAATTTTACATGTAACTATTATAAATTACCTCTAAACCAGGGAAAAATATTATCGCCTTATTATCACAGTGTCTAGCGCCATCTCGTGGCGAATAGTAGATATTACCGCTCCTCCTTTGGTGTTTCAATCATTTCGTTTAAAAAAATTAAAAAATCAAATTAACACAAATCCATAAATAAATAATTATAAATCATGCAATAATATATAATAAAATAAACCATTCCTGGCAGTTAATCTACAAAATAACATGATAGATAGGAATCTCGGCAAGTCGTATAAATCCCGGAGCTACCAAGAGTTTGTTTTGAGAATTAATTATTAGTTACTTTTACTTAGCATCGGTAACTTTCCGCAACTTTCACCACTTCGGCATACTTTGTTACTTTGAATGTTGGAATATTTATTACAAATTAAATCTTGCATTTGTGAAATTATAATAGAAATGTAATGAACATTTAGGAAACTTATAATAAAAAATATTTAATGTTAATCCCGAGTGCAATGTCAATAAAAAAAATTTTAAAAAGTTTTAAATTCTTTAGTATTTGAGTTAGTAATAATTCAATAAAAAATCAAGTACCTAATCATACTAATACTATAAATGCGAAAGTTTAAATGTATGGATGTTTATTAAAGTTTGTAGCCTAAATGGCTGAACGGATTTCGGTGAAATTTGGTATAGATGTAGAGGATAGTCTGGAAGAACACATAGAAACACATAGAACTCATTTTTTTTAAATTCCACGCGGACGTAGTCGCGGACGAAAGCTAGTCTAGTAATATATTACTAGTTTTGTCACTGTGGCATTTCTACCACTGTTCCCCTACATGTTTTAAGTAGTACAAAAGCGTATACATTCAAAGTTAGTTGTAAAACAAATGAATTATGAGAGCCAACTTTACCTCAACAAGTATCAGATAGCGGAGTGTGGGGTAAGGGAGGTTCTGATAACAGCGTCAACTGAAAGTGCCAACCCAACAATTTTAACTAATTTAGTATCATGATTGCCTTTTTACTTTGTTAACCCTCTTAAGTTCAAATCTATTAACACTTTTCAGATTCTTTAGGATTCGTTGCGATTTGAAAAAGACAATCGTTAACAATATTGGTATATGTTAAGAAGAGATTACTATGTTAAAATGACTACAAAATTGGTTTCTGGCTTCATCAAGAAATTAATGTGTTATCCACAAATTATCTGTTACTTATCAGAAAAAAGTATTCAAAAAATTGCCAAAACAAAATATCGTCGTTTCGGACACAATATTCATAAGCAACCAATACTAACCCTGGTCGTTACCTCTTTCGTAAATTATCTACTAGATAGATAATACATATATTACATCTGTTAGATAAGCCTAATTTACTCCCTTTCCCTTTCCACCGTTTTCTTAAAAGGAAAGGATGGCAAGAAAAAGTGGATTTGACGGTGGAGACGCATAGGAAGGGGAAATGTCCTCTTAATGTGCGTTTCCTCTTCCGTCAATTAAGGGTAGGCAACGCATCTGCAATTGCGGATGTCTGGGCAGCGGCCGCTTTCCATTTCGTTGGATTCAGGTGGTCGCTTACTCGTTTGCCAACTTATATTACAAAAAAATAGATAAATTGACAGCCACTTTGACCTGATATCTATTTTTCACAGGTGAAGAAACACTAGAAGGTCTGGAAGGTCTTCATTCAGATGAGACGGGTTCCGGAGACAATTCTAATGCGGGTTCCAGCGGCGCGGATGATGATGCAGCTCGTCTCCGGCTCAAACGCAAGCTGCAGCGCAACCGCACCAGCTTCACCAATGAACAGATAGATAGCTTGGAGCGAGGTAAGCTGTACAAGCTGTTTGGTAAGCTTTTATTGAGTTAATAGCTTTCGCCCGCGACTCCATCTGCGTGGATTTAAAACAAAACTAAGTAACCTATGTTCTTCCAACGCTATCCTCTACATATACGCCAAATTTCATAGAGATTTCAGTAGTTTAGGCTACAAACTCTAACAAACATTCATCCATCCATCCAAACTTTCACATTTATAATATTTATAAGATATTAAACACGGACCGTTTTGTGATAAACTATTTTCTTCGATCATGAGATTCAATTTACGAATCACATTTGGTTCCAAAAACTACGAACGTACATTGAGGTTATCATTTAATATTAACCAAACAAAAGAAGGTATAAAAGAAAAAGACACCGACTTTACTGGTTGCAAATTGTTATTACATTGGATGTTAGCTTTTTTATCTGTAACAATATGCGTTGAAAAAATTTTCCAGAGTTCGAGCGGACACATTACCCAGACGTGTTCGCCAGAGAGCGGCTCGCTGCTAAGATAGGACTACCAGAGGCTAGAATACAGGTGAGCTGATATAGATTATAAAAGTATATTTATATTCATTTTACTAATCCAGATAAAGTTTCATTGTTACGAGCAATACCGCAGTTGTACTAAAGATACAACACAGAGTTATAACAGACATTTGACTGTATTTTGCTGCTCTCATATAGACAAAATAATATGCTTGGTATAATCTTGATTTAACATTATTACATAACATTATATTTTACTGCTAGCTTTTGTCCACGACTCCGTCCGCATAGAATTAAAAACAAAACAAAACCAATTAGCTCATGTGTTTTTCCAGACTATCCTCTATATCTATGCCAAGTTTTAGCGAGATCAGTTCAGCAGTTTAAGCTACAAACTCTAACAAACATCCATCCATCAATCTAAACTATCGCATTTATAATATTAGAAAGAATGAGTTTATTACCAATTTAAAATTATCTTAATCAAAACAACAACAAGTCAATTTCTTAAATAACTGATGAAAACCCTATAAGTACCAATCAATATGCGCGTAAAAACCGCGCGTCTTGTTAACCTTCGCCGACCTTAAGGTGTGGTTCTCGAATCGACGCGCGAAGTGGCGGCGGGAGGAGAAGATACGGTCGCAGCGGCGCAGTCCGGAGTGCGCCTTCGCTGCGCAGACGCACGCGCCCCACGCCGCGCACCCCACGCACCCCGCGCACCCCACGCATCCGGCGCATCCATCGCACCCCGCGCACCCTGCGCACCCCACGCAGCCGCCGCACCCCACGTACCAGCCGCCACTTAACGTTGATACATACAGGTAAACTAAATAACAGTAAGAAAAGCTCCAAACAGAGCTCCTAAGTGGAGACGAATAGTGAGCTAATGATGGTGATGATGATGATGGTAGTGATGATGATCATGATGATGATGATAAAAAAGCAGGTATAACATTAGGCACAATTATAACCACAATAATACGAAGTGATTTTAATGTATCTCGAATACTTTGTAATCAATGTGACTTTTCTCACTGAACCCGGGAAGCCAAGCAGTAGTCCTAATCTTTCAGTTTTGGTAAGGGCCCCAAAATTCAAGGGCTCCTTGATAGAATTAGCTACAGGCTACGCGCTGACTTAATACGGCACTGGGTTAGCTAGTTATTTATTAAGAATGTTTGACATGTCCCTTTTTACAGTCCCCTGACTCCAATGGGCTACGGCAGTGGTATATCCGAGGGTCCGCTATGCGAGGGCGGCGAGACGGACCTGTGCAAGAGCGGGTTTGGATATCCGCGCTATGAGCTCGGCTACCGCGCGCCGCACGCATACGTCAACCATAACTATCAACATGAAGCCTCGCCCACTCCAGGTAATTGATAAAGTTTACTGCAATTCAAGGTATTATACCATCCATAGTAGATTTAAAAGTGGTAGTTTTAACGGTCAAGCGCTTACGAATTCTGAATTCGTACGAGGTCAGGAAAGCATTACTAGACAAACCAGAGAATAAAAATTGTATGACTTTAATTTCGAAACATATCTTACTAATATCATAAATGTGAAAGTTTAGATGGAGGGATGTTTGTTAGAGTTTGTAGCCTAAATGCTGAATGGGTTTCGATGAAATTTTGTATAGAAGTAGAACATAGTCTGAAAAGACACATAGGCTATTTGCTTTGATTCTCTTAATTCCACGCGGATGGAGTCACAGACGAAAGCTAGTAGACATATGAAATTACAATTTTCATTCAAAAAGCACATACCTTACTTTAAACGCTAACACACTACAAGATCTATTTATTAATCATTTTTTGTTTCCAGAATTAGGAGGTCTCCTAGGCGCCGGGGTGTCCGTTCCTCTAGCGGTGCCGGGCCACGACACGCAGTACTGGTCGCGCCTGCAGTGACCTTGGTGGCACTAGCCTGTATACGCACAACACAGCAATCAAATACAAGCAATTACATGCCAATTATGCTTCAATGTTTAAAATAACAGGAAAACAGTGAAAAAATAAAGGAAAATTATTATGTATCAGAGAAAAACTATTTGTATTCATTCTTCATTATAAATATTTGCGCTATTAAAAACAATTGGCTAAATGTAATCATGTAAAATTGTAACGTCGCCAATCATTCCTAATATTTAACGGGCAAAATCTTTTTATTTGAAGTTAGTTACGAAATGCAAAACGAGAGAAACGATCATACAAGAAAGTTAAAGGAAGGAAAGAGATAGATGCTGTTCCTTTTTTGCGTTTCAAATACAAATCACGCGTTGCTAACTTCAGATATTCAAATAGCCGTTGTGTTATTTGATTTATTACGCTGCATAATTTAAGAAATAACATATCCTCACAAAAATGCAACAGAGCACAAAATACAGGCTCAAAATATATTTAATGGAAATCAAACTATTTCATTCAACGCACTCTAAATCTGGTTACTGATGGATATTGCGAGTTGTAATGTAATATGTTACAGTACGTAGTGTTACGGCGTGAATGTTCATCGTGTAACGTGTTTTATTACCACACTAACACCGGTACATTACATCGTAACGTGGGTTAAAGTTTGTAAAATGTGATTTGGAATGAAATATTTTGATATTTAACATTAAGTCTTGTTTTGAATTTATTTAGAATTAAATACAATAGCGTATAGGCATAGTTTAGTGAATTTAAAATAAATGATTCTCTCTGTACATGTTGTTTATAAATAAAATAAAATTTAGTTTGTTAAAACTAAAACTTAAATTTATGTTAAATAAGGTTTAAATAGAACAAAATATTGTCATTCTTTAAATGGTCAGCAAAAAAGACATTTATAACAAAAACAGTAATCACAAATGTATAAAGACGGAATTGGCGAGTTTGTTTTTCTTTTCCGATTTTGTATAATTTGCCTGATTTCAACATATTCAAAAATGTCTTTTATACACATACTGCGTTTATTTGTAAGGCTCATAAAATCGTAGGACCCAACTTTGTACTACTATGTTTTATTTAGTTTTCACTAAATCAAATGGACTAACTTCATGTAGTACAATGACGAAAATTATAGTTTCTTTAAACTCTAGTAAAATAAACAACATTTTCGCATGTCACAAAAAAATCATTTCATTGTTTAGAACACCTTTAAGTGTATACTGTATATGTTTGTATTTAAATGTAATTACTTTAGTTCATGCACAGTAATGTTAATGTACTTAATTGTGAAAATAACCACCGTCAAATGTTTCAATTATAGGATATTAATTTCGAATTTATTAATATTAGATGTAAAATGTATAGGTAGATACGTAAAACATTAAAAATATGTGAATAATTGTGTGATGTCAAAAAAAAAGTTTTAATAAATTGCATTATATAACATAATAACACATTTTTGGATCAAAACATCATACGCCTTTCATTTGTTTCTGCGATACCATTGAAATAATCTTCAAATCCCTCAACCCTAAAGTAAGAATTTAGACTACTTAAATTGCAACTTATCTGAGTTCAACCTCAATTCAAACTTAACTGAAACCTTTGTTCTACGATATTGTTCAATACTTCTAAGTAGAGCATACTTTAAACTCCAATTAAGTAAAGACTTTCAAGTCTTAAGGCTACATCTATAATATCTATTGCAGAAAGAGACAAAGGTTGGCTTCTGCCACAAAGTGCATTTCTTGGTTCACCTGATGAAATATGCGAAGTAACAAAGGACAGAAAAGAAAGCTGCGATCTGTAAGCTTACTAAGCAATTGTAATAATTGTGAATTATTGTAATTTTAGTATCTAGATAGCAGATATTATTAGCAGATATGATAGCAGATATGATTTTATATAAACCTTCAGGTAATAACTTAACAATGCCTTGAAAGAAAAACATACAGACGAATTGAGTACCTCCTTCTTTTGGGAAGTCGGTCAAAAATGCATAAAACAATTATCTGTTGGGTACATGGGTACGTATTTTGAACGAAGGTGCTTTACAAAAAAAAAACATCAATTTACCTCACATTATTACATGTTTAAAATTAGTGTATAATATTTTTTTAAATCAGTATCCTGATAAATAAGATTTTTAATTTGCTTCTTGTTTTCCAGATTAAAATAACTTTATTAGAATGATAAATATTTTATTTAATCTGTCAAAAACCATAGACAACGTATTTTGGGGAGTTTGCCGATGAAATGAAATGAAAGTCCGCCTTCCGCCACATGTCCGCCATATCTACTACATTTTCTTTCTAAAAGTGACGTCCATATTATTTTTTATTATATAGAACAGTTGTATAGACATTTGTTGTTAATTTAATTATTCTTGAGTTTATTCATAAAACGGTGAGTAAAAAGTGTTGTGAGAAAACCTTGTATTTTTAGATTTATTCGGTAATTTTGACGCCGCTCCGTGGTTGTCATATTGTCAATTTGAAATATTAACTTTCTTGCCGTTGAAAATATTAATTTGGTGAATTACTGGTGTTATTTTGGTATCGCTATAGTGGATCAATATATTAACGTGCATGTAGTGTCAACAGTTTTAAGAAATATTCGCACAATGCGTTTTTTTTCTCAGGCCCTGGACGGCTGATTACACCATGGAGTCTCCTAGAAAATTTAACGATTGTTACTTTTACTACTATTCCACATGCATTAAGGTACGTAAACATTATTAATTTATTTGATTATCTAACTCACGCTCTCGAAACATAGTTTAGTAAAATATTTTCTCTGTCATTGGGCGTCCTTGCACCGTCTTTCGTAGTGTTATTTACATTAAAATGCCTATTATTTATAATAAGACAATATTAACAGTAAATATGAGATAAATGTAATGGGTAAATTCTGTTGACATTTAAGCCATAAATCAAATGCTTGTTAATTGATTTCCAGGGTGATAACTGCGTATTCCGCCATGAGCCGTCTGCTCTTGGCTGTGAGACAATGTGCACCGCATGGCAGCAGGGGAAATGCCTCGATAAACGTTGTAAACTGCGCCATATGGAACTTAGGGTAAGTTTGAGGCTATTTACTACATCTGTTATCATGTTGATTGTGTTTCCTGGAAATCCCCAACCATTAACTTGTAACAGCAATTAGGAACAGTAAAGTTTATTTAACTCTTTTAATATCTTTACACTTTGTGTTTCATGTATTTATCTTTTAAGTGAACCCAAGATAAAATTTCAAAACTACTAATTTATGTTAGTAATTTCAGTACTACATAAAAATAATTATCTTGTATGTTCCTTCATGTGTAAGACTGAATGTGGGTACTTTCATATTGTCACAGAATGTTTTTAAAATTACTCTACTATATCACAAGAATATAAATATATACATGGATAGTGAGTTAAAATTTTTATGCATGGCTGTGCAAATAGAGCTTTAAATGCATTTTGTACTAATTTTGTGTGAACATTAGTATTAGTTTTCACAATATATCAACACTTGCAATTTATTTGGCGTCATCTAGTCATTCTACAAGTTTACATTGATATAGGTATGCTCACAATCAATGGTAAACAAAAAGTTTTTCGATAATCTAAACATTTTTAACTAGTGTGATTAATGTAGCAATTGTAGACCACAGTAAATCTTGGAATAATTACATCTAGAGTAAGTACACTCTTGTTATGTTTAGTACTTACATAATCTTAAATGTGTTTTTTGTAGGATTATTCCCAACTGTCATCCTGCTCTGTCCCCATGTGAAAATAGATAAGAATCAAAAGTTACATTTGTCCCACCCTTTGTGAAGAAGGGTGGTTGGAACTTATTTCATAATGGTTCCATCTGTTCCACCTTATTGGTAAGATTGGGACAGATGAAACTTTTTATTCTCATGTAAAGATAGAGCTGGGTGACGGTTGGGAATAATCCTTTTTGTGTTTTCTGAAAAAAATATTTTTCTTACACAAATGGAAATGCTTTTGTTCTATTTAATTTACTGCAAATTATAAAATAACGATAAACATGTAAATCTAAAATTATCAAGATACTATAAGAACTAAATATTAGTCTCAAGTTATCTAATATCAAGGTCAATTGATTTATAAATTATGAATAATTAAGTTCATCTAATCAATTTGTCAACTGGCCTTGAATTTTGATAAGGTGTTATCTATAATTGATGTTTGATTAATTACGTCATTTGTATGTTACAGAAAAATCGTAAGCAGATTCCGTGTTACTGGGAGAACCAGCCGGGTGGCTGTCGCAAGAAACATTGCCCGTTCATGCACAAGAACCCAGATGCACGTACGGACGGCATCGCTCCTAGTCAGCCTGCGCCTATTGTTGTGGTAAGAATGTAGGAACCTCTTAATATAGGTTAGGGTCAATAGACTGTAGATTCAAGATGAACAATGCCAGAAAATGTATCCGAGTTTCTGATAAATATGATGGTTGGTGC